GTTGTTGTTGTTGTTGTTGTTGTTGTGGTTGTGGTTGTCGTTGTCGTTGTAGTTGTTAGTTGTTGGTTGTTAGTTGTTAGTAGTCGTCGTCGTCGTCGTCGTGGTCGTGGTAGTGAGTAGGTATTGTGGTAGTAGGTAGTAGTAGGTAGTTGTGGGTAGTGTGCGAAGAGGCCTTTCGAAGAACAAAAGCAGCCCCGCGACCAGTCTGTGGAGAACACTTTGCCGGGGTCCCGTTAAGACGGGTTGTGTTGACAGGGGCCCCCATTCAAGGCGGGCTGGGCAGGGAATGGAAAAATCACAGTTTCGGGTGGTCGTGGGGCTGTTGTTGTTCTTTGAAAGGCTTTTTCACAGCCTTCGGCTGCGAAACTGTGTTTTTGCCGTTCCAAAAAAAAAGCCCCGCAACCACCCGAAACTGTGATTTTGCATTTCTCTGCCCGACCGTCTGTCCAAAAAAGGTCTTGTTGCAGAGCTCCCTTACCAACTCGACTTCTTCTGCTTGTTCTTCGGTCCAAAACGGCTTTTTCACAGCCTTCGCCTTTGGCTGCGCCAAATCTCACCAGGTGTCTTCACGGCCGGCGCCGCCTTCTTCCCCCGCAAAGCCGCCTTCTTCGGCGACGCCTTCCGCGGTGACCACGTTAACTGCTGGTTGGAGCGGGCGCCTTGAGAGAGCTGGAAAAGTTCTGACAACGACGTCCAGCTCTAGAAGTTTTTGGAGGCTCTCCACCGGCTCACAGCTGTACCAGCATGGCCGATGGGGATACAGAAGGTGGTTCCAGCTCAGCCCAGAATTCAGACAGAGCAACCAGCAAGATCAAGATGGGAAAATACCAACAGCAGGCAGGTGCGCTTGTCTAACCGCCAGCTCAGGGCAGTTTGCTTCCGGAAATGGCTATCTAGGGTCCAAAAAATGCGCCGACACCAGCGACCGGCTGCTGCCCGCAGGACGACGTGGTCGCAGCCTATCCAGACTTGCCCAAGTGGCGCGTCTCCCAGCGCCGCCTGCAGTGTTGCTTCCACCCACGGCTGGCGAGACTGTTTCGGCAACCCATCCGCCGGTACGCTCCACACCCAGCCGCGCGTGGAGCGCGTGCTGCTCAACGTGAGTCCCACCTGGCCGATGGCGCGCGGAGACACAGTCTGTATTAAATTCTTCGATGTTCCTCCTTGGGAAAATTCGAGAACGCAATTGACAATAATATAGGAGATTCGAGATCTGATCCGAGATCCTAAGACATGAGATTCGATGGAAGATCTGAGATCCGAGACTCGAGTTCCGAGATTCGATTCGAGAATGCGAGATTCGGGCTTCGAGATCCGAGAAACCGAAATTCAATCGAGATCCGAGATTCGAGATCCGAGATCCGCGATCCGAGATTCGAGAATATCTTATGTATATATATATATATATACAAAAAACGAGATCCGAGTTTCGAGAGATCCGAGACTCGATTCGAGTCTTCGAGCTCCGAGAGAGATTCGAGATCCAAGAGATTCCGAGACCCGAGAATCGAAACGCCAGACCCGAGCTTCCATATCCACGATCCGAGATGCGAGATCCGAGGTTTAGATCCGAGCTTCGAGATTTAAGATCCGAGATCCCATATTCGAGATCCGAGATCCTGTATCCGAGATTCGAGATCCGAGATCTGTGCCAGGTTTTGAGCCGGGTGAAGGGGAAGAGAGAGAGAGAGAGAGATGGGCCAGAGACCGAAAGAAAGAGAAGACAATGAAAGAAAGGAAAAGGAAACAGTGAGAGAAAGAGAGACGAGAGAGCAACGTGGAGAGATCTCTTCCCCCCAGTCCGCCAGAGAAGGGAGAAGCGGGAAGAGAAGAAGAAAAAGAAAGAAGAAGGAGAGATGAGAGAAAGAGAGAAAGGAGATGAAAGGAGAAAAAGAGATGCGACAGAAAAGAAACAGAACGAGAGAGAGAGAGAGACAGGAAAGCAGAGAGCGAGAGAGAGTGAGTGTGAGTGAGACATGAGAAATGAAAAACAAAACAGAAAGACAAGAAAAAGAAAAAGATAGAAAGAAAGAGAAAAAGAGAGAGAGAGAGGGAGAAAAAGAGAGAGAGAGAGAGAGGGAGAGACAGACAGAGAGTGAGAGAGAGAGAGTGAGAAAGAAAAAATGAAAGAAAAAGAGAAAGAGAAAGAGAGAAAAGAGAAACAGAGAAAGAGAATAAGAGAAAGAGAGAAAGAGAATAAGAGAAAGAGAGAGAGAGAGAGTGCGAGTGAGACATGAGAAATGAAAAGTGAGACAGAAAGAAAAGAAAAAGAAAGAGAAAAAAAAAGAAAAAGAAAAAGAAAAAGAAAGAGAAAGAGAAAGAGAAAGAGAAAGAGAAAGAGAAAGAAAGAAAGAAAGAGAGAGAGAGAGAGAGAGAAAAAAAGAAACGAGAAAGAAACAAGAGAACAATAAGAGAGAGAGAGAGAGAGAGAAAAAACAAAAAAGAGAGAGATAGAGGTACATAGATAGATAGATATATAGATAGATAGATAGATAGATAGATAAATAGATAGATAGAAAAATAGATAGATAGAGAGAGAGAGAGAGGCGCTGAAGTGCGCTTGGGGTGGAGCCGCTGCAGGGCGCCGCTACTCTGTGCGCTTGGAGGCTTGGGCCCTGTTGATGCTGCAGCGCGCCGCTCTTAGACTCTTCATTCAGTCTATGTATGTCCATGCGCTTGGGGCTGCTACCTGCCCGAGCACGGGTGCGGAGCAGGAACCAGTTCCCGCTGTGCAAAGCTGAAATGAGGTGGCAGTGGTGGCATTTCATCGACCGTCGCCAGGAACCCTGGGATTCCTCCCCGGTCCGACACCGTGAAAACAAGCAAGCTTGGAACCTTGCCTTTTGCTATTAGGTTCTTAGATTGACAAAGAATTTGATATACCCCCAAGTCAAGTGTACAATGCACATAATTGTGGTGGTACCAAACCAATCCTTTTTGATTGATTTCCACAAGGACCTCATTTTGGGAACCACCTTCCCTTTGGCGTTTCGTGTCACAGACGGATCAGTCATCCTGTCCAAATTCTGACCCTCCGTCCCCCTTCTCCATGCCCGCCCTTCTCATGACCAGCGCTGACTTGCAAGCAAGGCCACGGGCTCTCCATGTTGCGAAGGTCCTGCCAAAGGCGAAAGTCTTACGGTAGGTCGATTCACAAAAAAGAAACGACAGCCCAGGCTCAACAAAGAAATGACATGGTGGCCCGGGTCTACTTAAGAAATGAAACGATGGCCGGACCGACGGACCGACCGGACGGAAGATAAATTGGATCCCTATGTCCAGTGTGGCTCAGTAAAAACAGGGAGCTTTGATTCTTCAGATCTAGCCGCGTCAGCTGTAGATACGCTACCCAAGGCATTCCAGGACCGGTCGCACCCTATTGAACCCAGTTGACACGTAGTAGCAGTAGTAGTAGTCGCCGTCGTTGTAGTTGTAGTGAGAGTAGTGGTGGACCTTGTCAAAGGAAAGGGTCCCAACCAAGCTCAACACGGAACGCCTCATGTTGAGCTTGGTTTTTATTGCCAGTAGTAGAAAGCATTGGTACCTAGGCCCCCGTAGACCCAGCTGAACCCAGTTGACCCACTTCCTCCTACGCTACCCAAGCCGCCGGTTGCTAGTCAAGCGGCAAGACCAGGCCGGAAGTGCTGCAGCGTGAAGGGTGCCGTCTCTGTCCTCGTCGGCAGCAAATCAAGCGCCCCCGTCGAACAGAATCCTGCGATTTTCCATTCTCTGCTCAGCCCAGCCACGGCCTCCATCAAGCTGATAGTTGGGGCCCTCTTTGAAGGCAAAAACACAGCTTCGCAGCCCAAGGTTCTGAAAAAGCCATTCAAAAACGAAAAGCAGCCCCACGACCACCCGAAACTATCAGCCCGGCCACGGCCCCCATGAAGCTTTGGTGGTTTAATTCTACCCCGCCGCCTTGACAGGGGCACCTTTGACAAGTTTGACAGGGCCCTTTAACAACGAATCTGTTTGACCGGCAACCTTTGCAAGGATTCTGTTCGATGGCGGGCTGAGCACAGAAAGATAAAATCACAGTTTTGGGTGGTCGTGGGGTTGTTTGCAAAACTGTGTTTTTGCCTTTGGTCATGGTCATAGTGGCAATGGTGGTAGTAGTGGTGGTGGTGGTTGTAGTAGTAGTAGCAGTAGCAGTAGTGGTAGTGATGGTAGCAGTAGCAGTAGCAGTAGCAGTAGCAGTAGTGGTAGTCGTAGTAGCAGTAGCACTAGCAGTAGCAGTAGTGGTAGTAGTAGTAGTAGTAATAGTAGTAGTAGTAGTAGTACTAGTAGTAGTAGTGGTAGTGGTAGTGGTAGTGGTAGTGGTAGTGGTAGTGGTAGTAGTAGGAGTCAGTAGCAAGAGCAGCAGCAGCAGGAGTAGTAGTGATAGTAGTAGTAGTAGTAGTAGTAGTAGTAGTAGTAGTAGTAGTCGTAGTCGTAGTCGTAGTCGTAGTAGTAGTAGTAGTAGTAGTAGTAGTAGTAGTAGTAGTAGTGACAATTATTTGTCGTTGTAGTTGTTTATTAATATCCATCCAACAACCATAAATTGCCATGACATGCCCTAACCCACCTCGTGCCTGACCTCGTAATTCTTGCCTGTTCACCTCGTTAAATCCGCCTGGGGTCGCTATAATTTGCGCAGCTCTGGGAGTTCGGGGTGGCATTGGATACATCTCTGACATTTGATGCTTTTTTGGATCCACACCATAAACCCCAAAGACACCCAAACTGTTGAACTTTCTGGCACCTCCTGCTAACACGCTTTCACTCTGTCCCAAACTTTATCGATTCTCCCTGTATGCTCGTTGACTCAGCCCATCTCAGCCCTCTAATCGCAGCGAACCTTGGCCCTGATCGGCCCTGGCGGCTTCTTTCATTTTCCAGCCATGTGTGCTAGACCATCCCCGCTCGCCCAATTTGCCTCTGTGTCGGTCGCGCTTGGACCTTTGGAGCCGCCTGAGGCTTCAAGGGATGCGCAACATGCAATGAGGCTTCACGGCATTATAGAGGGATAAACGCTTTATGCCATCACTAGCTTTATTAGAATGATTAATCATCATAAATGATCTTCATCAACCCTCAAAATCATCCTTACTCTGAGGCTGCTGGATTCATGAGCTGGCATAGCAGGATGGAGGCATGGAGGGAGTTCGATGTCTAGGAGAACAAACATATACCATTTGGATCCATTTGGATCCATCTGGTCTTAGTCTAGATAGGAGATTTGGCAACCTCCTTGGACCAAATATATTGGGCTGTGGAGTTTGAGCCTATCTGACTATCTCTGTCCCGAGTCTCCCATCAGAAAGAGTCTCCACATTCTCCACAACTGTTTGTGCATCCCAAACAAAGGTTGTGTGTTCAGGCTTCAGTTGGAGACGCAGGATTGATCCAAAGATTCGCGTTTATGGATTGATTGACTGACTGATTGACTCTTTTTCATTCAGAACAACCAAATTCTAGACCACCGATCAGTCTGAAATTGAGTAGAGATCTCTGCAAAGCTCTGCAAAGCCTTGATCCCCAAATGTTCCAGTATGTTCCAGTGCTTGGTCATCTTATTCATACCCTGTGTTGGGTTGACGATTAGTGGAGTTTCAAGACCGTTGGATGCCGTTCAAGCACCTTCGATCTCACACTGGCCGCAGCAACCGGCACAGCAACCGGCGCAGCCGGCGGCGTGGGCTCTGCTTTGTCCCTGGCTCAATAGCTCAGAGGCGAGCTTCAGAAGCAACCAACTTTTTGAGAAGGGTTCATGTAAACGAAACTGCAAATTCCATGACCAATTGTGATGTAAATGCCGTGCAAGTCATTTCCAAGGTCGGATGATCCGTTTTGCGGGTGGGGGAGGCTTAATTTCTCTCTCTGTTTGATCCCTACGGTCCCTACGTGTGTCGTCACTAAAGGATCTAAAGGGACATGTTGACGGACTGAAGGCCGGTGCATGCATGCTTCGTTGCGTACCTGCCTCGAATTGAGATGCCAGCAAAGTTGAATTGAAAGGACCTGATCCTGTGGATATGCATCATGTGTGATGAACATGAACAAACTTATATACTTGAATTGATCCATTCAATTCGCTTTGCAATACATGAACCACCTGACATAGTTCGATCCATGAATTCCTGTCTTTTCGCCTGCACTGGTGCGGGCCATCTCGCCCAACTGCCACAATCTGGACTCAAGACTCCTGAAAAGCTGTTTCTCACGGTGAACCACCTGCACATACCACTCCTGGGATCCTGTCACCCCACTCACATCTCTTTCACCAAAGAGTTTCATCCATTACACCGATCTTCGTTCGGATCCTGGGAAGCCACACAAAAAACAAGACGGAACATCAACCCGGGCCGGCCCTTCTTCCGGCACTTGTGCGGTCGGAGCCTTTTCTCTTCTCGGAGAGCTGCGGCATTTCTTCGGGCTTCACCTTGGAAGCAGGTTCGTGAGGTCACCTCGACTCCTAAGATTGCATCAGGTCACAACCCCCAAGAGGGGCAATGTTGGCAAAAGAAGGCAACACCACACCCAAAAAAGTCGTCACGCGGCACGCGTGAGCAAAACCACATAGGACTCGTTCCTTCTCCTCTTAGGGCCTCTCGGTGTCTCCATAAGCCAAGCCGCTATGCCGGTACACTTGGCACCAATCCTCCGAAAGCTCCTATACACCAGGGTCGCAACGAACGAAAACCACGGAATCCGATGGGCTATTTGTTTATATATTTGCTTAAACAAAGTTCCAGGTTGGGACCCAGAACTAGCACCAGCTATAACTCAAAGACTCAAAGGCTACGCAGCCCATATATTGACCAAACCCAACCAACACTTGAATTCACAAAGCTGTTCTCTTGGCCAAATGCGTTGCAAGCCAAGCTGGCTTTCAACAACAAATGTGGCCTCTCTCTATGCCTCTGGAACTCTGGGGGATCCTCCCTGCTTCGACACACAGCCATTGATGTCCTTTTTCCCCGGTCAGCAGCACGTGCCACCGAGGGCCCACCGGCCTCGTCGAGCACTTCGGAGGGATCGTGGGCGCTCACGGCGGTCTCCGGCCTCAGGTGAGATCGTGAAGTGCCGGAGGCGTTGCGACCGGTCGCTTTGCTGCGTTCCGCGTGCTTTCGTGCTTTCATATAAACTTAACGATAAAATACGTGTGTTTACCGTATAGCAATTATATAAAGAAGCAGTTGAGGGAATACTTTGCTTTTTTGTTAAGGAAACTCAGCAGGACCTCGTCGATGAAGCAGTACATATATATATATATAGATCTCTGGGGCCAGCTCCTTGGTACTTTCTTTGCGCTGGGCTCCTGATTTTGCATGCTGCGGAAACTTCATCATACACGTATGCCGGGGCGACCGTCCTCAATCCCTAGTGAGCCAAAACAAGAGGACGAAGGACCACCAAAACCCCTGTCTACACAGTTCTTTTCGTGATACTTACAGAAGGATTTGGGACAATCGAAAAAGCAAGTCGAGCCAAAGAACCCATTTGAAAACCGGGTTTTGCAATGACAAGAGGTATTGGAATTGGACAATGTACATTCTTAACAACGATTGGCCGCGTGATAAAATTTAGGCACAACTGCAAGGTAAAATTTACTGTACTTATCCTAGTTCTGCACTCTCGTCCCCTGGTCCTTGGGCTTCTCCTTGGCGCGGCGACTGTCGGGCGGGCGCTTCCCCCGAAGCACACCTCGGAACGGAGCGTGGGAGCCGTGGGAGCCGGAGAACGCGCCGACGCTGCGCAATCGCAGAATGAATGAATGACAGGGCACTCTTTGAGTCATTGAAAAACAACAAGGGCATCGCTACGAGTAAGAAGTGCATCGCTACTAGTAGCTTCCTGTTACTAGTAGAAATGCACTTAGCTACTAGGAGCTTCTTGCTACTGGTAGCGATGCACCTTGTTACTAGTAGCTTCTTGTTGGCAATGCGCACAGCCCTGTTGTAGAATAGGCTCGAGACGTCACGTTCCCCTGCGTTGCACGGGAACGTGCTGCCGGGTTTTTCTGCGTTCCCCAAGGTCTATACGAAGTAGGGGTGTCCTGGCAATCCTCCTCTCTTCACAAAACCTGCGAAATGGAACCCCCGTGGTTTCCCATTTGCGTGAATCAAGTTTTTACTAAAGCTATCTTGAGATATCCTCACTTTTTCATACTTTTTCACCATCGCCAGCCGAGGAAGAACGAAGGATACAAACGCCTCATACCATCTTTGAGCTGGGAAACCTGGAACACCTTCCAGACTCTGCAAAGCTACAAACATCAGCAAACTACAACAAGGCATAGCCTGCCAAAATCTGCCAAATTTGCTGCAGTGAAAACACTTTCTCGAACGAAGCGGACTGGGAAAATAATACCTGCATAGCCCCTGAAGAACTGCAGTGAGCCAGTGAACAAAGTTTCATGGAGCTTCAAAGGGCATCGTCGACGTTCTTCAAAAACAGGTGCATGCTTCTGCTCAGCACAGGTTCTCACTTCCTTCACAACCTTCTTATGTACCTGGCCATACCTGGCCATTGCTTTTGCACACCAACTTCTGGGGTAGCGAATTAGGGAACGGGAGAGTGGATCGCGCAGGACACCGCGCAAGCCATCGAACGTTCGTTGCGGATCCGGAGATCCGGAACGTGGAAGAGGAAAGCCGGTCGTCCACCGGATAAGAGAAAGCCGTGGTCTCGGGTCTCGGGTCTCTGTGGGTGCAGGAACTGCAGGAACCTTTCCAAACGGTTCGTTCTGCCGGTCGTCCAGGTTTTGACGGCGTAACAGACATATGATCGAAGAGCTTGTTGTTCATGTCTGAACAAATTAGAGGGAACGGAACTGTGGAGTGTTGGTCGTTCACAAATTGCAACTGCAAACCAACGAGGGATCCGGTTGCCTCTGGTCAAGACTTCAAAAACATAAAGAGATCCTCGTCAGGGGCATTTTCACCCGAGCTGTGTCAAAAACCTGGTTGCGGTGGGGTTCTAATCAGCTAGGTCTTTCGCGAGTGCTTTCCCGCCGCTCTCTCGACCTGTGTGTTTACTTTTGCGGACCTCATTTCAAAGTATTGACGTTCTCGCCACTTTCGCGGGGGAACCCTCCTTTTCACTTTTGCGGGCCATTGCCCACATGAACCTCATCTAAATTCCTTTCTTCAGGGTCTTTGACACTGCTCAGTATACACCGTAATACATTTTGTGGGGTTGTTGGTCATTGTCCCTGTGGCTAAATCAATGAAACCTGTTGGACCAAGACATCTGAGTCTCAAACTGGCCCGCTCTCGCTTCGCTCGCTGCGGCGGTGAACTTGCTTCTTGGCCCTGCCGGTCACAGCAACCCAGCGTCAGTGTGAAACCTGTGATCAAAGAACAAAACACAGGTTTCACAGGTTCAAGTAGGATTCCCTTGTTTCAGTGAGCTGGACTATGCGTGCTTCGCTCTTCAATTCTCATAGGACAGAACATCACACAGCTTCACCCATGTCGATTCCTAAGCTGTCCTGATTACCACATCTGCATGTTTGACGTCAAGAGGGTGGGCTGGCTCAACAGCTGGGTGCTAATAAGTGGCACATGGCGCATGCAAAACAAGCGGTCTGATTTGTTTTGACACTGAGAAAGTTCTCCACTCCTGAAACTGAAATCAACAATTAAAAAATGAACATATACATACATATACTAGTAAAATCTAGTAAGTAAATAGACATTAATTAATTAGATGGGCCGTGGCTTAAGGGGACCCCCTCTCAAGGCCCCCCTGGAATAATCTATAAAATATTCTGACCCCTAGTCACATTGATGCTGGAAATTATTCTGGTATGTCATTCACATTCAGGAATAATTTATAAACATCTGGATGCAAAACCAGGTTATAGGCAAGAGATGTGCCTTGCACTCAACTGTTTTTCATCCCTGTCGCAACACCGCTCAAATCATTCGGTGTGAAACCCCAAATACCCTTGGAGAGACAATACGCCTACATGTGTGTACATCTTGAAATATTATTCCAAAAATGATTCCAAATTTATAGGTAGTACCTTGAACCACTACCTAGCAAAAATATTATTCCAAAAATGTTATTCCAGTAGGTCAGATGACCCCTGGAATAACTTTTTAAGCCACCCTCTATTTAATTAGCACTTGACGCCCGTCCTGTTAAGTCCATGTTCAATGCATATCGTGAAATCGCTTGGGGGAATTCCCTCGAGCGGTCGTACGACTGAGGTACAACGTCCTCAGCCAAGAGCTGCTGCTGGAGCCGCAGGGTCTGCCTGGACGAGTCACCATCTGTGAGCCCATTGGATGCCGAGCAATGAATCTTCAACACGGGAAATGTTTGAAACCCGTTTCCTTTCTGTTCCCTTGTTTTTTGTGTGTGTGTCAACCCCTGTACCTAAGGGCTCCGATGTTTTCAAGCAGCAGGGGGCGACAGGGTCGCTGCATGGCTGTCGCCAACGAAGCTCCATGCAGTCGACCAAGATGCGGGGACTGATCATCCCTGTGCACCTGCACCTTTAACTGTTGACTCACGCTGTCCAATCTTCCTTTTTTGATTCCATGGTGGTTCATGATACTTCCCACAAGCCATTTTCCCTCCGCCGCTTTCAGCTGCCGCGCGCTGACCGCTTGCGAGTGCATTTCAACATGGTGTTCAACAATACTGGTTTGCGGACTCACGCACCTTTCCGTTCCCTCACCTTCCTTCTCGACGTGGGAATTGAGTTAACAGCAAACCAATGTCAGAGTGTGAACCGCTCAGCCGTCCCACTTGGGTGCTGGGTGTGATCCTCCGCAAGGAGGCGCTGTTTTCATACCGGAACTCGTGTAACTGCCTTGACCGTATCCACCTGGATTTTCTTAACCGATTTTGTTTCACTACTGAATTGTCTGAACAAAGAGCCGCCGGGCTTTCACGGTGAACAACTATAGCCGCCGGGCTAAAAAAACGGAATTCCACTTGAGGTCAGGCATGTTTCCCACAACCCTCCCACCCCCCGCCGTGTTCTACTCCCCACCTAATCAGGGCAACACAGGGAAATGGTACTCGACACACTTGTGTGTTGGTGCCTTTCCCTTTGTTGTTCCTGTTCTAGTCTTCTCTACCCGGGCGGTTTAAGACTAAAGTCCCGCTCCCTAACTATTGCATTTAATTCGCCTCGGCTAAGTAGTCAGTAACTCTAGAGTGCTATACACACACACGGACACACACATGCTACATACACCCCCTCCCTGCCCCCCCCTTTCTTTCTTACGCTTTCGGTCGTTTCTTGGGCTTTCTCTCAGGCTTTTTAGGTTGTTCTTGAGGCTCGTTTCCCTGCCCCAGTCAAGGGCTAAGTATTCACTTTTTTCTACACCTATCTTTCTCTCTTGCCCTCTTAGCGCTGGTCTTTCTGTGTTTCTTTCTTTTGCTTCTAAGGCCTTTTAGGTGCCTATTCAGGTCGTTCGCACGAGCGCCGCAAAGCGGACCGTGTGTGTGTCAACCCCTGTACCTAAGGATTCCGATGTTTTCAAGCAGCAGGGGGCGACAGGGTCGCTGCATGGCTGTCGCCAACGAAGCTCCATGCAGTCGACCAGGATGCGGGGACTGATCATCCCTACCTGCACCTTTAACTGTTGACTCACGCTGTCCAATCTTCCTTTTTTGATTCCATGGTGGTTCATGATACTTCCCACAAACCATTCTCCCTCCGTCGCTTTCAGCTGCCGCGCGCTGACCGCTTGCGAGTGCACTTCAACATGGTGTTCAACAATACTGGTTTGCGGACTCACGCACCTTTCCGTTCCCTCACCTTCCTTCTCGACGTGGGAATTGAGTTAACAGCAAACCAATGTCAGAGTGTGTGTGTTTGTTGTTTTTTCTGGGGATAGAGTTCCACTACGTCCACTAGTATGGCTGTTTGATCCATGACTTTGGACTTGAACACCGTCTGAATATATACCCATTGCAACTCTGGCTGTGGACGTGTGCCAACATTTCTCCAAATCCTGAAACAGAATTATCCAAAATGTTCAAGTCAGGTTGTCATGCACTTGCCAAAACCCTTCCCCTTTCTGTGTCTATTCCATGTCATCCTGTGGTCATGAAAACACCCAGAAAATCCTTGACACCAGTGAGTCTTTGAGTGTTTCACGGGCGCTCCCCGATCAGTCCACTGATGGGACGTTGTGGGATCTTGATGGGAACTCATACACAATCTGTAGATGGAGCGCCGGGCCCTTGAAACACTCAAAGACAAGGGAACCTATAAAGGATTTGAATCTAAACCCGGAGCACGCCTTCTGTGCCGGGGGGTGCAGGAGGTCACGGGGGGTCGGAATCCATTGTCGTTCTCCTCTTGCGGAGTCCAAGTTGACCGGGCTCGGCCAAGTGGCTCGGTTTGGATGTCCTGCATCGCCAGCCGTGCGGCGGTGATCGGCGCCACCTGACTTGAAAAAACCAGGGCGGAGGTGGCCGGGTGCAGGGGAGTGAACACAGGACAAACCCAGTGGAAAAAAACATATGCACCCATTCCTTATCAATCCACCATCCAGACTATCCAACAAATGGACGTGGCAAATGGCCCTTTAAAATGACCCTTTGGAAGAGCACGTTTTCTGCCAAAGGGGGCCACCCACTTTCATGTCTTGGTTAAAGGGGTTTCCATGTGTTGGTTGAAAGGACATGAAAGGACGGTATAAACGCAAGGAATGTCCTGTCCTGGGCCGAACAAACATATGGTTTAAATGTATCCACAAAATTGCACAAGACGTCACCAAACATTCGGAGGACACTTGCAGTAAATTGGCCACAAAAGGAGGTTCGTTTCGACCAAGGGCGGCACCGGCCGGAACCCAAGGTCCGACCCACTCAAGTTCGATTTGAAGCGGATGAGAAACAAAATGGGTTGATTTGAGGCCACCTCCCTACATACTTCCAGCCAAGCAGCGATGATTTTTCCAAAGATCATTTTGGCACCTGACAAAGCAGCATATCTATCCGTCACCCGACCATCCAAGGGACAAACAGTGAAGCACTGAGCTTCCCTCTTGGTCGACAATCTGACCCATCCAAATGAATCGAGTCAAATCTGGATGCACTTCCCAAAATAGCCCTGACATGTTCGGAAAGGTCTCAACTCCATCAGTCCCCAAGCTTTCGCATCATCTTCATCGGTTGGCAGTCACAAATTGCACGTCGGCAAGCAAATCTGTGGAGATATCTCTGGGCCATGTGATCCAACCTCATGTGTTCAATGGATGTTTAACCACATACATAGTCCCGTTCGACGCCTTGGATTCGGGCGAGCTGTGCTTGCACAAAGGCACAAACCAAAGCACTGCCCGGTATATATGACATATATGACATATATCCGCAAGAATACAGCCTATGATCGCCTATGTGTGTTCGAGGTCTCCTCACGTCCCCCCTCTGCAGATTACAGGTTTCAAATCTCCCGGACGGCCCAATTCGCCCTGGGCTGCGGGCCCATCAATGGAAAGGTGAAAAAGACCTCAGCTGTTGATTCATCCTGGAACGAAGCGAGCTGCAGGTCCACCAATCACGATTCTACGAAAGAAACAAGTTCGTAGGGTCCAGGCACGCTTGCATAAGAATACTAGTCCTGATTGAGTAGTTATAAGTTAAACATGTTATAACTATACATGGTATAAGTAACCCAAGTTGTCATCTGAATACACATCTGTGGCCACCGCTCTCTGCCCCCCCCCAAAAAAAAAACACACCTTTTGGATCCCCGGCATCGCACAGGTCACCCGCCCAGCGCCGTAGCAAACTGCAGGTCTGTCTGGTCCTGAGACATGAATCTCATCCAGCAGCTTCGCTGCCCAACCACAAAGGAGATCACTTAGAATCCTAGGGTCCTAGAATGAGCTGGTTATCCACATTGAGCTTAAACTTGTGGTGAAGGCGCCTCAAAGTGAGGGGATGGTCTCAAGTAAAAACTCCAAGTTCATCCATTCAGCCTTCTGTCAAGGCATGTTCGGTTGTGGTCAAAGGAACAGCCATGAAAATATGCTTTCTCCAAATCATGAATTTGACGGGCTTGCAGGCTTTTGCGTTGATCTGTAATTATAGGAGTAAACGTGAATTGAGAAAGTCCTCGTTTTGCCCATGTTTGGCATGATTGTTTAAGCCATGCTGTGCCTATGATTATTGTCCCCCGGGCACAGTGGGATGGTGGGTTCAATTCCATCTGAGCTTCTTCTGTTCGGTGAAGCACATCCCGTCACAAGAATCTCTTGAAACCGCAGGTTTCCCAGCGGAGACCGTCCGGAAACCCTTTTTGAGCGATCCAAGGCTCTTCCTCCCGGTCTTCCTTGGACAACGACGAGTCTTCCCATGATACAGCGATGGGTGAACGGGTCTCCGGATGTTGAGTGCATCATATCGGCGCTGAGGTTTTGAAAAATGAAGAGAAAAGGCCACGATGGGGGGTGGAAGTCATGTGAGTTGTAGAAAATGAGATGGGTGGTGTTGTTGGTGAATGTGTAAATTCATGTACAGTTCAACTAAGTATCACAAACTGGAGGAAGGAGTCGCGAATGTTATTTGCTGTTAATTATGATGAGTCCATCTACTCACGGGTTTTTGGCGTTGTTGCGAGTGTTCAAAAAAAAGTATCAATCAAAGGCCGTTGGAAAAATGCAAGACATATATATATATATACATATTCTAAGAATCCTGCACACGAGCTCCCATGGGTCTTTCATGGTTTTAGGGAAAAAGTGAGTCTGTGCTTCAAAAAGAAAAAACTTGATGATGGAAATCAATTGCATAATATCAAGAAGATAAATTGACTACCCATAGAATCGAGAACAAACTAACCAAGTGGAGAAAGGAAGCGTTAGTGCAGGAGCTACTATCTTGGTTGGCTCTTCTGTCTGTTTAATTGATTCTCAGTACTCTTCAGGAACATAGTTGAGAGTCATGTATATAAGCAAGAAATACACAATACTGGAGCAAGAGCAACTCTGTATATTTATATATGTCAATATTAAAACATATCGTATGTTGATGTATGTCACACAAAACCCATTACAAAATGGAAGTCTCACTCGCCATGACCAGTATCCTCTTTGAGGGGTGGTTGCTTTGCCAGCCTGGTGTCCTCTGTTCTACCGCCATCTGCCTGGAGCAGCCTGATTACTCCCTGAGGTGGTGGCTGTCGGCAACAGCTCCGGAAGCAGGAGAGCAGAAAAGCCCACCTTGGTCTGCCAGTTGGAACCACTGCTTGGTGAGGCAGCTTTCCTCCATGGGTCCCTTGGTCCGCTTTCTGGGTTTAAGATGGTTTAAGAAGTCCCACACACCAGAACCGTCCGATCAATGCTGCTTCGCCCATCTGAGAAGCAGGGTTTTCCCAGCTGCAAGATTTGGTTCGTCGCATCCAGTATTTGCAAGTATTTGAAACGTTCGCCATCTGGTCAACATGGCGAACCCACAAAACCTCCGCCAAGCAAAAGCACCCTCGGGAATGCCGTGCTGGAGTGCTCATTGGTGGCTACTACAAATCTCCAAAATCACATCAAAGAAGGTCTCAAAACATTCTCAAACCACCCATAAGCACCCTGGCCTTCTTAGCTACCCTCCAAGAAGGTCACTCTGCTTCCCCACGTGGTGAAGGTCACCACGAGGCTGCAAAGGATGGAACTCCAATAATAGTGCCTGGCCGCCCAGGAACGGCCGGACGGTTCATTCTCGCGTGGCGGTTCCGATCGCACCCCACTCGTCGGGACCCCATCCGGGACGTCGTGTCGCAACAGCCTGAGACTTAACATGGGTTGTGCGGATGAGTGCCTGAGTGGACAAACCAGCTAGTTGGGCGAAGCCCCCAGGTCCAAAGTAGAACTAAGGGTGATTTGAATTGAAGCATGCTTCAACCACTTGTCCTGAACTCCCCTGGTTTTCACCTGCACCGCGCAAACACGTTTCGCACTGCCTAGCGGACTCGGCCGGCATCCGAGCCAAGAGCCTCGGGAAACCATGACCAAAAACAACCCCTGTGATCAGAAAGGAAGAAGTTTGTCCATTGATCTGCTCTGTTCCAGATCGGGCACACTTACAACCTACAACAAACCAATCCTGAGATGTTGGGAATTCAACCACAGGTCGCAAAGATGGGTCTATCAATCTATGTAGGCATGCGCAATTCAGTGAGGCGTGATCAATTCCAGGTTCAACACCTCCTCCATCCAAATTCCCGAGTAACTCCCCTCACATCTACTCACTTCATTCCTCACAGACATCGCACTATCTTGGACCCAAATCCGAATCTCAGCTAGGAACGGCTCGAGGACAGCCAGCAACTCCTGAAAGCCCAAGTCTTCAACGCAGATTTTTTGCTGAGCATATCGCATATCCCCCCGCTGGGTTGTACTCCCACCCGATGGCAATGATCCTTTTGGGGGATCACTTCAAAGATCTTTAAAGTGATTTCTTGAGGTGCCCCAAACGAGTTGGTCTGCTGGATGATGGAACAGTAAATGACACATGCTTTGACTATTTGAAACCCTCCCTCCCCGCCTCTTGGGTGAAGTCCTTCACGGTCAGGCACTCTTGGTCCGGGCGTCCCACTCCTCGCACCCACCACTCCGCGCCGGTCGTGGAGACGCGTCTCGTGCGGATGGCCATGGATGGTGTGGTGCCATCCACGTAACCATGATTTCCAGGGAGTGGACTGGACTTGAAAAAAAAACTTTTTGGATGTTTTTAGCTTAAAGTGATAGGAGTTCCCTCTTGAACAAATCCTGGTCTTCCAAGCATCGCGACCTTGGTCGGTGATGAATTTCTCTGCCAAGAACAACATATACCACTTCATGGAACAGGTCACAGAAGACACATCAGAAATTCCATAACATTCTCTACGTTGAAGTGGATGTGCTTTGGGGTTGTGACTCCACCAGTACCAGACATTCGGAACCATTCTGACAGCGTTGTTGGGCAATGTCAAAGCTCCTGTGCACAGCGTCTGCTCATCATCTCTTATCCTGCTCTCAGCGAATAGCGATCCAACTGCGGTGTAACCACGTGCAGTCCATGAGAAGGGACCCGTCTGTTGACAAGTGAAGTCCCACTTCTCTTCAACAACTCACCACGAAACAAGGTGAATTCCATGTATCCTGCATGCTGCACCCAAGACAAATCTCTGCCAAATGGGGCACACCACCCACCGTATCCTGGCTGTTCAATCAAATCGACCGCTCATGTCCGCTGAAGAGTCTTGGCACACAGCCCAAGTCTACATGTTATCATGTGTCAACACCTCAGGCTCTTCACCTAGATTGCTTAAGATAGTTTCGACCACGTTCCTCTCATTTCCGCAGATCGAGCCTCAAGGTAGTCACCTGTCACAAGACTTCTCTCTCCCAAGCAGCTGTGGCGAGAATATGACTAAAAACAGGTGGTCCTTTACCGGTACACTCCCTGAATTAATCGTGGAAATGGATGGCATGGCACCTTGGATGACCATTTCAGGCGGTTTTCACTTCCATGCTCATTTCAGGGAGAGTGTGTGTGTGTGTGTGTTACTTCTTTCCGGTACGGTTGTGATCTGATGCGGAAACCGCACCCAGCGAGGGGAATTCTGTATTGTTTCCTTCATGTTTCAGTGGGTCCTGGAATAGCAGGGTTTGTCAGAACCTCAGTACTTTGGTGAGTTTGCCTGATTTACTCAAAAATGGTACGATTTGGTACAATGCACGTTGATGCCCCTCATGGATTTGGTTGCTGGATGCCGGGTAGGGAAAAGTTATGAAAAGTTACCCTGATGGATGCTACATCGGGGATGGACAGGAGGAGGTGTCTAGTTCAATCAAGGAAGCGCACCAAGTGTAGTGCTCATAACACCAAACCTTTCTCTGCAAGGACAATCATTGAGTCATTGAGCTGTCAGGTGCCAAACTTCCATCCCCTGTAAAATGAACGAGGTGTGGTCTCTCTTCACTCAATCTGAGCGGACTTTCTGGAGCAGTTCCATCTATCTATCTATCTATCTATTTATCTATCTATCTATCTATCTAGTCTTATCTTATCTTATCTAATCCTGGGCAGAATCTATCTATATATCATACATTTATCTATCTATTGTAGTAATGGTATGCAATAGTAACAATATGAAACTTTTACCTTGACTCGGGGACAGTCGCTGACAAACCGCAGCACCAATGGACAACGGCCTGGCCCAAGTTTGAGCAGCGAACACGACCCAGCACACAGCGACACGGCTGACCAGTTCAATGGAGCCTCGAGCGAGCACATTAGCCCATTGGTCTTGCTGTCATACACCCCATCTCGGAGAAGACTTGCCTCTCATTGCCTCAAAAAGTGTTCCTTTCCCCAATCGTGCGTAGGGTCCATTGGACTCGGGAGCATGTGGCAGCGTCCACTAGGTCTCTAGGTAGGGCCAAGCCTGACAGCTCAGGCAAATCTGCAAGATTCTGCAAGTCATTTGCCCGCATCTGCCGTCATGACAATCCATCGGCATTGCAACAACCAATAGAGAACGGTGGAACCCGGAACCCGCATCATTGGAGTAGACCAAGGCCACTGGCACGACCAGTTGAAGCCCCAGCAAGCACGTTAGCCATCCACCAGGCCACATATCCTGTGTTCCTCCGGGGCTCCCGGCAGAGGCCCGGCTGCTGTGGCACCTCGGGAGTGAAGCGTGGCCCGGCCGAAGAAAGAAGTCATGTGCTGTTCCGAGTCGCCGGGCCACGGGTGTTCGGTTTCTGACACTTCTGCTGCTGTTCCTGCCACTTCTGTACCCATCCAGTGAATGATCCAGCTTGAAATTTGCGGAACACGGAGGTTTTCAGGCCCAGTGGGTGATCTGGTCCAGTGCAAGAGTAAGTGCCAATCCCAGGCTCCCACGTGACCAACTTCTTCAAACATCCGGTGACGTGAAGGGTTGGTCAATCGAGGAACCTGTCGATGTTTGATTGCTTGGACTCCTCACCTTGTCCATCCTAGCTAGTGACCATCGATACCATGTTTACGGGATGTGTTTTCCAACACCTTTTGTTGTGATCTCCATTGACATGATGTGTTCTCCGAAGGTAAGGAGGACAAGTTCAACACCTGCGGGCATCAAGGACCACGTCTGCAAGACATCGACTTCTGACTTGGAAGCAACGCCGCCCAATCTATTTCCCAAATAGGTTCTTTCCACCTAACATCCACAAGTTGAACACGGCTGAACACTGATTTAGGACCAATGAGTCGCACGCGTAGCTCGTTTAGAGAAAGGAACTCTATACTGGGGCAACTACCGGGGTAGCATACCATCTTGAAAGAACATGTGCACTACTTTGACATCACTTTGACCATGTCTCATCATGTCTCACATGAAAGTCACCACCTTCCATCTGACAATGTGGGACTGCATCCTTGGTGACAACTATGGACTAGTCCCACACCAGCTTCATTAGCCCATTGCCCCTTGCTGAGATTTCGGCAGGAAAGATAGTGCAAGCACCAGCCACATCGTCCGGACACACGCGGACACCTAACAGCCTTCGCCCTTGGAATGTGGATCAGGTCACGGCCCGATCGAAATGATTCTGGAAAAAACGTGAAGAGGCCAATGAGGGCAATGGGAGCGTTGTTTGAGTGGAGCGCTCCATGGTGTTGCTCATTTTCCATATTCTTCCAGAGTCTCTCTGCTGCATGGGACTTCTCTGGCAGCCATGGATCTTAACTTCGGCAGTATGGGTGGCGAAAATGCAACATCTTCATGCTTCTTCTCCACAGCTGGAGTTTCCCATACACCCAGCAAACGCGCAACTAGATACTGGGGGGTTAAACCAAACAACTTGCTCCTGGCGTTGGACACACCGGCGCCGAAACGGTCGGACCAAGGTGTTCCGACCGCCGAGGTTTGAAGGATGTGCCGTTTGGCTGCCGCAGGTTTGTCTATATAGCCATGCTACTAGCCATGTTTGCTCCTTCCAAGGGGCCATGTTCAGGCTACAACTTGATTCATCAAGAAAACGAGGTTCTGAGATCAGGAAGCAAATATTGTTTGCTGTTGCACTCATTTTTGGCACATGTTGACACTTTGGATTGTGCAAAAGGCTACCCACCTGCCTCAAGGAGCCCTGACACCCAGAAGACACTTTTTTGGGGAGAGCTAAAGAGAGCTAAAGACAAAAAAGCACTGCCCTTAAGGCAGAGCTATGTCGACATGCCTTTCGCTGGACAGAGTTCAAGTCAGCCCAGGCTGGGTTGTTTCGCTGGATCCTGGTTTGATGATTAAACATCCAAGTGAAATGTCTAAAGAGACTGCGTGAACCAAAGCCTGAGCTTGATGAGCTTTGGTGTTCCATGGTGTTCCTATCATAACACTGCAAATCCAAGCATGAGGAAGCTGATGAGTATTCCAGCGGCCCGGGCATTGCTGAGCACGCATTGAAAGGCTTCCTGCAGAGCGGGAGTGCTCCAGAGTTGTGTGTAGCCCGCAGCATTCAAGTGGATCGAGTCCTTAGTCCGCTGCCGTCCTCTTCACATGGAAGAATACCCTCCCAAAACGACCAACTAGTGGTCTTCAGGGTCCACGTTAGTCTTCAGAGGTCTATGCAGCAAGGAGGACAGTTGGACCCTACAAGGCTTTTGGGCCGGTGAAATCTCCCAAGTCCTTTGCAGCCTTGATCATCGAATCGATGAGCAGCAAACGTTCAACAAGCTTTCCTGTACGATTGAGTCATACCAATCATGCCTCTTTCAAGGATAAATTATAGCTACATATAGCTACCACCGATTTCTTGTGTTGAACATAGCCTTATCTTCAGAGAATGTATGTTCCGGCTTGTCTACATCCAAGCTCCATTCCGAGTTTAACTGGAATTCGTGAATCGGATCCTCAGTGGCATTTACCACCTAAGGTCAAACCTGCCTGTTCCATCCACTAAGAACCAAAGTTGAGACAATTGACACCCTTGAATCAAATGGAGGAACATTCGCGGCAGATCCACAACAATGAGTCATCCAACCTATCCAAAACCCTGGCGTCAACAACATATATCAATGGGTGCAAACTAATCAACATCCACCCCACTCTGGAGCGTCAACACCACAACACGACACGTCTTCCATGAACTTTCTGCACGAGGCACACGAAAGAAATCGGTTTGACTCCAATGGGTTGTGTTGCCACCCATGGACTCAGAGACATCCACGAAGGTAGCTCCCCACGCTTGCGCCGCGCGCTTCCTGAGGCGGGTCTGGAGCCGATGGCAGGCCGTCGAGGACGGCACGTCTGCCTTCTCCAGGGTCTGCCTCCTTTTCCCAAGTGATGATTTATGTAGGGCGTTGCACAAATGGTCTTTGGATGTCTTTGGAATTTGAGCCAGGAGTTTTGAGGGGGGCCGCAAGGGAAGTGTATGCCACCTGGACATGTTCACCCATCGACCATTGGACCATGGGAGAGAAACAATCACTCTTCGAACACTTTTTGATCATGAGATCAATGTCCACACTTTGCTCACAAGCATAACCCTCGCATGGGCAACTTGGAGGTTTGCTCCCGTCTTCCCAGTGTCCTTTGTGTTGGACCACTAACCCCATCGATCGTTCTTCTTAATTCATGCTACATATAAGTTCTCCGCGTCTCCAGCAAAGCAAAGCTACATGTGCTACATCACGATTACCTCACACACATCTGTAAAGAGAACATTGCACCACACACCACACACCAGCTTCCTCCTACATCCCGGTGCTTCAAGGGTCACTGCCGCATTGAGTGGCTCCAGGGCAGTGATGGAGGAACAGGCCGGGCTGGGATGCCAGGTCAAAGGTCCTTTCGGCACTGCATAGCCTGTGAGGATAATCTTGGTGTTGGCCGACAAGAATTGCAGGTCTGCCAGCACCTGCCGTGAAAAATAAATCATCACTGCCGTGAGGACTGGAGTCGGAAAAGAAACATGAAGAGGGCATGGATGTGAGGACTCCGGAGGATCAAGGACAAGAGTTCGTTGCTGGGTGGGAATGTTGAGGTTAGGCCTCCTTTCTACTCTGAAACTAAGTACAATATATATATATACAAAATTTACTAAATTACACTACTACATATACATGTTATTTAAGTGTTATATATGATGTGTAAGAAACATTACCTAAAGATCTACGCGATCGTCCAGGTGCTGGAATGTCAGGCACGGTTGGACTCAGGAATTCCTCCCTTGTTCATGAACATTGGATGATGTGCGAAGGTGAGAATTCAAGTCTACCATGCTGTATCTGTATAGTAGTTTGTGGTATCAATATGTATCCACACTGGGCTGAAGAGTAAGCATCCCTGATTTTTCCTATCAACCCATTGTTCCCCTGTCAGGGGGGACCGATGGTCTGCGGTCTGACATGGTCTGACCGCCACCCATTCGTTGGAAAATCATGCCTGCTCAATGCTTTGTTGGACACTGGTCAAGCGATTGACATCCATGCTGCACGCCATCTCAAAGAAGTCCTGGGCGCCAGCGACAGAGCCGTCGCCGGGTGAGGTGGAGATGGTGAGGAGGTAGATGACTGGCGACTGGCAGTAGACGGAGAACGAAAAATTCAATAGGCCCAAAGGATGACAACTTGGAGACATCATGAGACATTCAGAGACATTCAAGGCCTGTCAGGAATGATCATGTTAAAGCAGACCGCAAGGGGAATCTTCGGTGAAGTTGGGGATGCTCGGAAAGATGTCCTCTGACTGACAAATGCCTGATCAATCGTGCCTAGAACATCTGAGAATACGATCAAGGCGCGTTCCCACCAATGCTGACCCAAGCATATGTAAAGCCAGGCTCGAAAGTCACGTCAAAGAGACTGCAGCTTTTGGAACTTTGACCTCAACCCCAACGGGTCGGACCGGGTCGTGATGCACGTGGGGCGGATTCGACAGGCCAAGGTCTTTACACCACTACCATCCACTACCCAATAGTGAGGGCCTCCAACCTACTAGCGAAAGGAACTAGCCAAGGTTGAACTCCTGGGGCCCAGGGCTGAGGCTGGAGGGATCACTGGAATGCCAAGGCAGAGGTCTGTAGGGAAACCAACAACCGGTAACCGGTTAGGCCATCCATGTCTATTCTATATCTAAATCATCACTTTCAGTGGGGTGCCCTACTTAGTGATAATTAGTTTCCAACCACAAAAAAGGACATGAGTATGAGTATGATGAAAATGTGCAACCCGATCATTGCCCAAGTGACAACACTGTGAACTGCTGTCAGTCTCACAGTTGTGTCTGGCGGCCCATTGCGCAGCAGTGGTGCCCGCAATTCCGCGATTCTCCACCTGGTCAGAGTGACTCACAGTGGTGTTGGTGAGACCAGCAAGGCAGTTCCTGCCAATGTCTGGGGCCACTTGCACGTTCCTTTGCAGAATTGTTCAATGGTGTCTAATTAGAAGTGAGAAGCGGGCACCTTCGTACCCCGGTACCCGGGTACGCGGGGACGCAAAGATCCGAGATCGACCAAGTTCTTCAGGTCCCCAAACTGGCACCTCTGTGATGCTGTCGCAACTCTCTTGAAGGCTCTGCAAGGAGTAGGAGGCCCAGCTGTCACCCACCACCAGCGCCCGTTCGCTCGCTACGCAGGCGAACCCACACAGCAGGAAAACCACACCGGGTCCCAGCGGGGAATATGCGCGGGCGCAAACGCACATCGGTGAGACGGTCCGAGCCGTAGCTGAGGATTGGAGTGGGGTGATTGTGGACTGAGGACTGGGGCAAAGATAGAAAAGGGCAAGAATCCAGAACAAGTCTCAATATATTTGTGATGCTCAAGGTGTTTGATCTGGGAAAGTTCATCAAATTTGGCATTCTATCGCCAACAAGTATCTCCAATCAAAGCAGAAAACCTGGCCTCTCAGGTCTGCATTCGGTTTAAAATGGGTTCGATGTTCAAAGCCTTTAGTAGGTTGGACGCAATCGCTAGTAGGTTGGAGGCCATCGCTAGTAATCTGCATGTGCGTGTTGAGTATGATCACGGGCCTTTTCAATTGAAAAGGACGCGTTGTGGGCACCTTGAAGCTACGATGCCTTCAACTCAATGCCATTGTCAACAGTTTTGTGTAGCAAGTGATATACAGTCTTCCACTCATGAGAAGTAATTCCACCCAGGTCTTGTGAAACACTGAGACTGCACCTTTTCCACTGATGCTGGAAACAGGAAAAACACATCAATATAGAGTTTCTTGCCAACTAGTTCTTCGGCTTCCATCCTACGGGTTTCACCCCGCAAGCATAGAGTTGATTTCTAGAACCTCAATTCACAGGTGAAAGTGTCTGCGTGCGTCGTTTGACAAGAAGTTGGCCCAAGTCCAGGTCGCCGATATCGACGCCAAACCTGGTTGCGTTTCTGCCAGTTGACAGGGTTGACAGGGTTGACCGCATGTGTTTGCCCATTTTGACACGCCACTTGCCATTTTACCCAGAATGGAAAACACCTCCTATAGTTAGTCTGACTTTACATGTGCCCTGTTGCCAGCCAGTCTAGCAGTGAGCACAGTCGTAGGGTCCAGGTGTGGAACACACTTACAACCAAGCTGGTCTATCAACACCTCAGCTGTGACACATCTTGTGCTCAATGTGGCGCTCGTCAATCAAAAGTGAAGGTCAACGCACCGCCTTTTGGAACATTTTGGAACTATCAAAGTCAGTCCCTCTTTGAGGTTGCTGCTCAGTCACCGCAAATCATCTCCGCACGACAAACAGTCGTCAGAAGACTGATGGCGAAGGCTCTCACCATAGGAACATCCCCATTGAATTGCAGGCGCAGGCTGAAAGGAACATTCCTTCCGCCATGTATATTATAGAGCCATGCGGCCATGCTTCGATAAATACTAGGGTCAAATTGCAAGGCACTTTTCAGGGGCCATTTACCTTCAGTATTGCATTTTCTTGGAGGTCACATCCTTTTTCTATCCTTCCCATAAAATGACCCGTTTGGGGCTCGAGCTCGAACATTTTACATTCAATGGGGGAGATCGGAACCACCACGTTTGAGCTGCCCCGCTCAAGCAGCTCTTCGACGCTTTGGCTGGAACCTCAAAGCTTGGACGCGCGAGGCGACGGTGTGAACTTGGTCGGGCATGTACTGTTGGACGCTTTAAACGGTGGGACGTCTTTCCTACAATCAAGTGCGAAGCTTCCCGTGCCACACTCGGCTGCATTCACCAAGAAGGGACGTGGAATAAACAAACCGTATACCATTCAATGAGGCTTCTACATGTCGTGTTTGAGTTTGGCGCGTAAGGCGTCAGACTCTTAGGTCAAGTTAGCCACGTTTATGAATTCCATTGAAACCTACTGAATCAGTTTAAATTTCAGTCATATTCAAACTTGTCCTGGGCCCCGAAACCCAGCCTGGACCGCGCGCATGCGCACAATTCTTCTGATTTCGTCGATGCAAAATGCAGGTGGCAGCAACTTTTGAGATCTTGGGGTTGATCCTGATTTTTGGTGCTTGCCAAAATTGTCTGATTCTTTCTCAGGAGTGCTCAAGTCGACAAAAAAGGCAACTAGTTGGAACACGACGGAACAACGCCATCCCTATCCTGTGGCTGCAATACATCAGGTTTACGGACTTTGCTCTTATAGAGCATCATGCGTCAGGAACCATCAAACTGCTACAACGCATCAGCCGCACTTGACAACTGGTGCATCCGAGCGCGCCAAACTAACAAGGTCTTTCCCCGGCCCAGGCCATACCAGCCGCACGTTCGGCACCGATAGGCGCTCTGCTCTGGGCCCTCGCGCATGTCGAATGTAGCGCTGCAACTGGCATGTAGAGCGGCACAAATTTTTGTCAAAGACTGGGTAGTGTTTGCAACACTGCATTCAGTCGCCGAGGCCCTTTCAGTTGACTGGAGAAACAAACGCGCATACATCTGAACGTTGTTGGGTTTGTTCTCTTGAAGCAAGCAAATTACTCTTTCCAAACATTCGCGCATCGATGCGCATCGGGACCTTGAGGGCAGCCAGCGTTCGAACGAACATCAAGTCCTCAGGGAGCAAACCCAGTTGGCAGCGCATTCATGGGAGTGTCGATCGGTGAACAAGCTCGGTGTGACATAGCCTGCAATAGGAAAAGATGGCATACTGCATTCCAATGTAGAATTCTGGGTTGCTGGCACGGGTCATGTATTCCAGGAGCATTTCTTTGCTGTCCAGGCGATCGCCCCACCACCTCCAGATTCGACTGCTCATCAGTTTGTGTGTGTGTGTATATATATATATCTATGTATACGCAGTATACGTTATAGATCTGGCAACCTGCAGCGGACTGAAGCGCCTTTTCAACCGCTAAAAGGGCTGGCGGTATGTGAGCATGTCATACTATACAAAAGGTGTGTATCGGCTTGCACCCCACTTGAGTGAGGTCTGCCAAGGCCTTACTCACAGGCCGAAACGAGGACAGCATTTGCAAATCCTCAAGCTCAAAGCCTGGCGACTTCCCTGGCTCAAGCGAGGGCATGTGCTGTCGCTGTGAAAAACATCTCTTCATATCTCTTCCTTCCAGCCAAAAGATCTTCTCCTATGGCCGGGTCAACAGCTCACATTGGATCTCTTGATCCTTCATCTCAGGCCGCGCCGGCACCAGGCTCAAGCCCCCACTCAAGGCTAAATGCCTTCCAAACACCTTGAACCAGCTCCACATGATGCCCTGCACAATGACCAAAATGCCAAGAGCAAAGGCCAAGTCAGTGAAGATCCAGTCAAATCCTTAGTGGCTGCTCTCAGTCACATTGCTGCCGCGCTCCCTCAGCGCTCTGCAGCAAACAGCAAAGTCAACAGAGCCACCATCATGGTCCTCTTGCTGAACCCATTCAGAGCCACGGCATTGACATGCTCGACGTCATTCTTCTTCTCCTGCTCGCTTCGGGGCCTGTCACCTCAAAGGCCAAAGCACTGACCAAGATCTGGACAAACCCTGTGTCCAGAATGTCTGCCAGCAACGCATGGACTTCCTGCACAGCAACCCCAGCCCCATCTCGATTGCGTGGATGCACACCAACCATTTTTGGCGTCAGGCGAAGCTAGAGCAACACTTGCTCCTTCCTCAACATTCTGCTGACTTGACCATGGAAGTTCCAGAAAGAGCCCTGTCAATCAGCACGTTGATGGTGGATGTCACTCCCTCTGGCAAGCTGCGCACGCCCTCCATCAATGCAATCTGGGAGGATGAGATCTCGGTGAGGAAACGCGTGATCACTCAGAGCCAGCTATAGCATGAAGTTGACTCAAGGTAGCTCTGCACAAACACTGTATATAATGACTTGGCATGGCATGACATGACACTGCATTGCATGACATGACACGGCATGGTATGACATGACATTGCATTGCATGAAAGCATTACATTGCATGTGAAAGACGCAATGAAACCGTCAATCCCGCTGCGAGTATATAGCCCTGCAGCGTGTGTAAGATTTTGGTAACTACAACTGTGATACTTAATAAGTAGGACAATTAGTATACATACTAAGTCCAGCAACCGAAGATAGACAAGTAGCACAAGTACAACATTAAGTCTGCTAACTACTTAGTAATCCTTGTAACTACATAGTAAGCACTACGCCCATGTAAGTAGGTACACAATATGCACTGGATACATCACCCCTAGAACCTAACAATTGCCCTGTCATGCGCCCTGGTCACCCGCAGCGACACCTTGAGCCACGGAGGTCTTCAGTGAACTCAGAGCGCTACGCACCTCTTCCGTGCTCCTCGGAAGGCACGGGAGATACAGAACGTCTCTTTGGATTTTAGGATAAGACCCTACAGTAAAACATTCAATCTTCTATCACACTTTGGATGCACTTTTTGTGTCTTTTAAAAGTGGTTCAATTGAAATACAAAAACAAAAAGTCAACAATCTGAATCAAAACACCGAACACCCGAGAAACAAATAAATCCGCAAGTCCCTTTGACACTAGCTTAAGACAATCTTCTATCACAGGTTTGATGCGGTTGTCTTGCTTTTTGAAGACGATTCAGTTCAAATACGAAAACAATAGAGTCACCAATCTGAAACAAAACACCACATATCCAAAAAAACATGCATACGCAAGTCCTTTTTGACGCCAGCTTGAGACATTCCATCTTCAATTGTACTTTTGATGCGTTTTCTTTTTCTTAAGCGGTTTAGTTCAACTCAGGCCACTCTACTCATTGGATTCTGACAAATCTCGTTCAAAAACAATTATACAGTATATATATATACACCACAAAAACAAATCAACAATTTGACACTATAAACAGTTTGACTTTTTTGCAGATTTGCAAGCAATGGCATGTATCATGTGTCACATGTGTATAAGGTGTGCATTGTCGTCTTCTGCAGGCAAGTGTTTTTGATTGTGGGGTGCTTCGTTTTGCTGACATATTTGGGTGATGTTATTGTTTTGTTACTCTTCTCTTAAAAATGTGCGTTGGCTTCTATAGCAATCTGTTTATTGATTATATACTTGTCCTTTCTGGTTTCGAGTGTGTTTCTCTTGGGGGTGGTGTGCACAAATACATGAACTTTGGCAGGGTGAGGGGTTCATAAAATGGGTTTTGTGAAGGGGTGTGCCCAAATACGGGGTGTCCACAAATACGAAGCGCAGGGTGAGGTGTTCATAAAATGGGTTTTTGTCGAAGGGTGCGCACAAATACGATG